AGGCTAGACATGTGTTGGAAGGGAAAAACGTTTTTCATCTGACTCTCATTCTCTTTGAGGTCTACTTTAAGTCTTAGAGAAATTATTACCATACTTTGGGGCTGTTGTACGTTCGACTTGCAGGGTGTCAAGAACTGCAACTTATCTTCTACTCACTCTGAACCGTGGGATACTTCAACAAAGTTGGACTACCTGCTCCTCGTGGCACCCGGTCAGACTTTCTGAGCCTTTGTTCACAGCTTCCTTTCCCCCTTCAACTCCCTCTATCTTTATTTGAAAGTACTAAAATCTCTGTCCTCCCTTTCCTTCAGCATCAACTCAGTGGAGACTTCCCTGAACATTCCTTTCACAAAATGCCTCTAACACATCCATGTTCTTTTTTATACCTCAGTTTGTATGTGTATACTTCATCTCCTTACCTGTTGGTATTTACTTTGGGCAGAGACCATGTCAAACTCATTTTTGTATCATCCACAATGCTTCACAGGAGGCTCACAGTAAGAGGGTAGCATGATGCAGAAATTATGAGAAACAGCTTTGGTGTCAGACAGGCATGCATTCAAGTATCTGTGTAACCTTGAGTAAGTTACTTAACTTCGCTATGCCTCAGTGCCTTCCTCTGTAAACTGGGGACATTAATTCCTATTTATTATGATTGTTATGAAGAAAATGTAAAAATAACATTAAGCACGTGGCACACTACAAATGTACAGTAGTAGAATCATTAGCATTAAATGCTTACTAAATGAAGCAGTGGACCAAGATGTTGATCAAGAATTGATGGTTTATAAAACCCAATTCACAATCATTCTTGTTCATTGTAAGCCTTTATTTACCTAACAGTATTAAAAAAAAAAATTCCCCTCAATGGCTTCAAAGTCTGTGTGGGACTCAAAAGGTGCCCCTCCTCTTCTAACCACACATGGACACAATTTCTTATACACTTTATCCCTTGTTTTCTTCTCATGCAGACCATGGTTAAAATCAGATTGAGTGACTATGGGCTACTTGTCCAGTATCTCATATCTACTCTCAATTTAAAACAAATCCTTTGGCTGGGTATAGTAATCCTACAGTACTTATTTCTAATACCTCATGTAATTTTTTAAAACAAACATCGAACGTTTTCTCCACTCCTTTCATGCTTTGAATTGGAAATGCTGGTGCCATAGCGGTTAAGAGCTACGGCTGCTAACCAAAGGTCGGCAGTTTGAATCCACCAGGCGCTCCTTGGAAACCCTAAGGGGCAGTTCTACTCTGTCCTATAGGGTCACTATGAGTCGGAATTGACTCGATGGCAATGGGTTTGGTTTAGCTTTCTCATGCTTTGAATAGTTACAGCATTAACATATCTGATACCAGCAAACAGTGAGCTGGAAAGAAATGTGGATTAAAAATCCATTCTTTCCTACAACCCGGTTTCTTTAAGATTAACCTAATTTCTTCTGGGGTTGTGCATGGAGCATTTCATTCTACAGCAGCTCAGAAATTGATGGATTAAACACTCTGTGGGCTTTTCAATAGTGCTGGAATTCTTCTAGGTGAAAGTTAATACCTCATTCTTCATAATATACTCGCTGAGCTCAGGAATTAACACCCAATTTATTCAGGCTATGCTTATATAACCTTGTCTTTGGTTCAAATGAAACACTTGCCAAAATTGTCTAACATCTGTAAGAATGGTCTACAGGGTGTAAAAGGAAATTGAAATTACCTGAGAGAGCTTATAATGCAGAATTACTACTTCCTGCCTTTTTTATCCTTCCAAATCCCATGAATATTCACATACAATTTCTACAAACATGTATATATGTATACACACATATAACTTAATAAAAAATTAAAAACAAAAACTAAAGTCAAAAGCAATAATCAACGAAGGGAGGCAATAATGATTGAGTTTCCATTTGTTATTTCAAAATCAATTTTCAATGAAAATCCTTATGTTTCTTTCTTGATATGGAGTGTATCATCCTAACTTCAGTTACACATAAATAACCAATGTCAAGTAATATTTATGAAATATATACGCTAAGTTTAACAAATTTACATCAGAACACCTAACTGATGGGGATGTGCTGGTTCTGTTATCCTTGGTGCTAGTCGATGTGGAATTACAGAGGTAGATTTTCACTGTGCCAGTTCTGAATCATCGTATAAAAATTAATTTAAAAATATAATCACCACTAAACGTGCTGCTGCACCTATTCAATTTAATAACAAAACAAATGCTACTCTTCCTCCTAAAATGTCTGGTTTTGAGGTTGCTCACGTTTTTCTAACACTAGTGAGACACTGAAGAAGGACTTCAGTACTGCAAGGCTTGGTGCGCCTCCCTCCATATAACCCTACCCTCTTTTGCAAAGGGAGCTCCCAGCTGCTAAGCTTCATGTAACATTGAAGTTCTCTGTTAACATGATTCTATAGTTAAAAGACATCACGTTTCCATTCCGGAAGGATTCATAAATACCAATTTTTCATGAATGTGTAAACAGATGGGTTAATTACCACAGCAACCAAAAACATACCAGGTCAATTACTTGGCTGGCAAACACTCTAGTGATTTTTCAAATACCATCCTTTTTACACTGCTGAGATAAAGAGGTTGAGGAATATTCTGTATAATAACACAAACGCTAATGCCTGTAAAGGGTTTAATAGTGACCTCTTGAGAGGTTTTCACAATCCAAAAATGGAGTAAACACCAGTAGATGCATCAAAACACAGTGAACACACAAAAACTGATCCAGCAGCTGCGGAAACGATGATGGAACAAAAACTAGTGGGGAAAAGAAAATCTTAAAAATAGCAGCTACTGAAAGAATTAAATCATTTTCTAAAACAAGCAAGCACATCAATTATTTGCTAAGAGAAAAGTCAGAGCACGGTACAAGAATGAGTAATAGAGACAGGCCGCCATTTTGAGGAAAAGAAACCTAATCTAGAAAGTGTGGATTATTTTCTAATGTTAAGGACCAGACTAACTTTATTTTGTCATATTTTAGTATGATATAAAATTTATATGAGAATTACATTAATATGCAATTAATATGGCAGTAAGTAGTCTTGAAAATAATTATAACTATAACCAAACCAAAAAAAAAAACTACACCCACCGCCGTCACATCGATTCTGACTCACAGCGACCCTACAGGACAGGGTAAAATTGCCTCACGGGTTTCCAAGGCTGTAAATCTTTGTGGAAGCAAACTGCCACACCTTTCTCCCACACAGCAGCTTGTGGGTTTGAATTGCTGACCTTTTGGTTTACAGCTGAGCACTTTAACCACTGTGCCACTCAGATGGACTAGGAGAATGGGGCAACCCAAAGCTGAGAGAGCAGATTTGCCATTCTAGTGGGCCTGGAAGGCAGAGCTGAAGCCCAGGGCCGAGGGGCCTCCACCCAGAATCCAGAGAGCACAGCCAACACCCAGAGCCTGGAGGGCAGGGCCATTGCCTAGATGGTCTCAGAGAACAGAGGATTATTTCCAAGCCTTGAGAACTAATATAAATTGTTCTGCTGGGTTTTGGACTTGCTTGGTATCTGTTATCCCATCTTTCCCTCTAATTTCTCCCATTTGTAATGGAAATGTGTACCTTATGCCTGTTCCACCATTGTACTTTGGAAACAGATAACTTGTAGTCTAGATTTCACAGGTTGACAGACGAGAATGAATGTTGCCCCAGGATGGAATATGCCTAAAGTCTTACCCATATTTGATTTAGACGATTCAGAAGATGAGATTTTAGACTCGGAGTTGATTTAAGATTTTTGGGATGATATGACTGGGTGAATGTGTTTTACATGTGGCAAGGACACAAATTTTGGGGGGCCAAGGGGTAGAATGTCATGGATTGAATTGTGTCCTCCCCGAAATACGCGTCAACTTGGCTAGGCCATGATTCCCAGTATTGTGTGGCTATCCCTCATTTTGTGATCTCATGTAATTATCCTCCATTTTGTGATGTGCTATAAATTCTAACCTCTGCCTGTGGTTATAATCCCATTTGTGAATGGGTTGTGTTTGTTATGTTAATGAGGCAAGATGAGGTTATGTCAGTGAGGATTATGTTATGTTTATTATGTTAATAAGGCAGGATTATGGTGTATCTTGAGTCAATCTCTTTCGAGATATAAAAGAAATTGAACAAACAAGGGAGAGAAGCAGAGATGGGGGAAGAGAGATGCCAAGCCTTATGAAGATCGCCCAGGAGCAGAAGCTCAAAGAGACAAGGACCTTCCTCCAAGCCGATGGAGAGAGAAAGCATTCCCCTATAGCCAGCACCTCGAATTCAGTCTTCTAGCCTCCTAAAGTGTGAGAAAATAAATTTCTATTTGTTAAAGCCACCCACTTGTAGTATTTCTGTTACAGCAGCACTAGATAACTAAGACAGAATTTGGTACAGCCAATGGCAGTCAAAGCAAAATAAAATCACTCCAAAGCACACCAATATCTCTGGTACTCTGTGCAGCCCAGCCGCCAGGGAACCACCAATTAATGCAGGTTTCAGAGACATCACTAAGACAGGAAGAGCAGAAGCTTAGAACACATACTATGACCAAAAAGGACTCTTTTAAGATGCTTATATGGATTGGGCATCCAACCCAAATCTAAATTAAGCAATATTTCAAACACCTTATTTCAGGAAAATAATTCTATACAAATTGGATTAATTGATCCCTTGACTACCAATTCTTCAAACCAGATTATTCTTTAGAGACACACAGCCTCAGGGTGGTCCAAAGTACTCCCTGCCCCATGCTTTTGTGTCCATACTCTCTCATCATCTACAAGTGCTCTCTCTTAGCATCAACATGCATATGAAGTTAGCAGAAGACCCTCATGATCAAATTATTCTTTACAAATATACAATGCTATTTTATATAATCCTAAGAGACCTGGTCAAAGAATCACAAATAGTGAAAAGAAATATTATCCTAATTGGCAAGGCAGTTTGTTCATTCTAGAGGGCTCATCCAGGGAACCATACACACTTACCTGAGGAAATGCTTCATTGTGCCTGTTTTGACTGTGCAGACGCTACACAGAACTGTCTTCAAGTAACTGATCCCAATTAGTTTTTGTCAAAGTAAGTGTAAGCTGTGGAAAGAAATTAGATATATTTACTAATAAGGAGGTTGGAAATCTCAAACCAAATTTCTCTTACTGAGGAGACAATGTGCTATGCACCAAGAACATTATCAGCTGAACTGCCCACATAGCAGCACACTTCAACGGATGAAGACTACAGCTATAGCCTTTCATTTTATAATTCATACAATTATACTTTCATTTTAAGTCATTTGTAGGAGAAATTATTAGTTTCATGAGCAATCCCTTCAAAAATAAACTTTTTCTCTATTTTGAGTATTGTTCCTATATCCTGGGGAACAGTATTTGCAAGCCAAAAAAAAAAAAAAAGTTAAAATTAACCATCCTGACTTCCAGATATCCAGTGGTCTGAAATCTGGCCGCCTCAACCTTCCAGAAGTACAATTCAAAATTAACTAGAAACAACTGATAATGTCTTTAAGCTCAAAAACAGCTGTTAAAGAGCCACGTACTTCAAACAAATTAACAACATGTCCTGGCCCTCCCTTTTTTTTTTTTTTTTTCCTTTTTCTTTCCACTGTGAATAGAGCAGTAAGGCTTTATACAGTATCTGTATAGCATTTTTCGCTTTACAGTTTGCCTTCACAAAAACTATAATATCTGGTTAATAGTTTTCTTCTTTCTGATAAGGAGAATACCCAGAGCTGCCTGCAAACAGGCAAGGTGGGATGCGATGAGATGAAACAGAGAAACAACAGCATAGAGAAGTTACCTCATGAGAGAAGAGGCAAATGGAACACCAGTTGCAACAGCAACGTGAGGAACTGAGTGTACAGACAAATGGCTGAGGGCGGAGACAAAATTACCCACTAGAACATCTTGGGAGTGCCGGGAACTCAGCCCAAATATTAATAAAAGCCAGCCATTTATTTAACACCTATTTGTTCTTATAAATATTTCATGCATGCTTGAAAAAAATGTTTACACACCAAATTTAGGATTGTGGTTACTTCTGGGGAGGGAGAGAGGAGTTTAGAATTGAGAAAAGGAAAAATGGTCTTCAACTTTTTAAGTGTTTTATTTCTTAAAATATATCTGAAGCAAAATAAAAGGGAAAACATTTATTCATTTTGTGAAAACATTTATTCATTTGTACTTCTGTGGCTTTTAAAAACGAATCTAAATTTTAACTTAGAAGTGTTAATGCCCACCAAGTGCCCAGATCTTGATTTCTAATGCCATTCTCCACTAAAAGAAACCAAGGCACCTTGGAGAAATGGCTAGCTCTAGGTTGGGTCAAGGAATATACAAGATGAGCCTGAAGCATCTTATAGTGCCAGAAAGCAAGCAATTGCTCAAAAAAACAAACAAATGGGGAGATGTCAACTGGACAACTGAAAGAGCTCCCAATGGCCAAAGTTGAGACAACTTGATAACAAAATAAAGTAGTATTAGATTATAACCCAAAGTATAACATAAATATCCATAAGCCCATACTGATATAAATAAATGACTGACTAAATAAACGGGGGAGAAAATCTCCTATACAAAAGAATCCCACACAATTTAAGTAGATACTCTGCCCTCAAAGGAGCCCTGGTGACAGAGCCCTGGTTAAGTGCTTGCTGCTAAACAAAAGGTTGGTGGTTTGAATCCACCCAGCGGCTCTGAAGGACAAAGACCTGGTGTTCTGCTCCAATAAAGATCACAGCCTAGAAAACCCTATAGGATAGTTCTACTCTGTCACAGGGGGTCACTATTAGTTAGAATCAACTCAACAGCATACAACAACTCTGCTCTCAGTCAGTGGAATATAACTGTCCACCCCTTAGGTGTACACAGGGCATGACTTCCTTTAAAAGAGCGCAATAAGGAAAAGGGGAAAAGAGTAACTTAACAGTAGAGAAACCTGACAAACACTACCTCAGCCAGGTGACTGAGGTTAACTGAAAAGTCATGTTGATATCATGTACCCTTGATATGATATGATGAGAATATGGTACTTTACCTCTGTAGTCTTTCTCCCCAAAACTCATAACCCCAGTCTACTCATGAGAAATACATCAAGAAATCTAAACTGAGGAACACTCTACAAAATACCTGACCAGTCCCTCCTCAAAACTGTCAAGGTCATGATAAACAAGAAGAGACTACGAAGACTCTTCTATTTTATTTTGACTTTAACAAAGAGAAATTTATTTCTTCACAGTAAAGTAGGCTTAAAGTCCAAATTCAGGGTGTCAGCTCCAGGGAAGGCTTTCTCTCTCTGTCAGCCTTCCCATCAATGTTCCCCTGGACTAGGAGCTTCTCTGCGCAGGGACCCTGGGTCCAAAAGACGCGCTCTGCTCCTGGCACTGCTTCTTGGTGGTATGAGGTCCCCCTGTCTTTCTGCTCACTTCTCTCTTTTATATCAGAGACTCTTTTAAAGAGACATGAAGACTAAATATAATATAGTATCCTGAATGGAATCCTAGAACAGAAAAGCACTAGGAAATGTGAATCAAGTATGACCTTAGTTAATAATAATATATCAATATTGGTTCATTAATTGTGACAATTGTATCATATTAATGTGAGATGTTAACAACAGGGGAAAATGATTGTGGGATATATGGGAATGCGCTGTGCAACTTCTCTGTGAATCTAAAACTATTCAAAAATAAAAAGTTTATTAATATGTTAGTGCCTACTATGCTCTAGACACAGAGTTAGGCACTAGGATACAGGGTGAACAAGATGGGCATGGTCCCAAACTCCAGACCCAACAGGTTGAGGGAGAAGAGGAGACAAGATGATACGGAGACACTAATATGTACTTAAACACAATATTACAAGTGGAAGATGGATGCTGTGACAATAGGTATGAGAGATATCTATTCTAGACTTAGGGGTTGGGGGGAGGGTCTTCCAGATCGAGCAAATAGTACGTACAAAGTCCTAGAAGCAAAAGAAAATACAATGTGTGTAGGGGAAAATGTTCAGTATGACTTTGCATGGTGTTAGGTGAGAGGGGCAGGTAAGAACAGGGTTAGCAAGAGATGAAGTGGAAAAGCAATCAGGGGCAGATCATGGAAGGCTTTGCAAGCAATTTAAAGTTTAAACCTTACCCTGTGAATGAGGAATCACTGAAAATTTTCAAGCTGAGATGTGACATAATGAGATTTTTATTTCTAAAAATACACATGGATTGTAGGATGGAGAATAAATTAGATTGTGGTGAAATTACAGGTAGGGATACTGCTTAGAAAGTTGTTATAATAATCCAAGCAAAGATAATAGTGGGAGGATAAGCAATAGACAGAGATGGAGTGTGACAGATTTGAGAGATATCTGGAAGGTAGAATCAGTAGGACTTTTGTTAGTTGATTGGGAGTTGGTCAAGAAAAAACAAGAGTCAAACATAGGCCAATGCTTATGACTAGCAATTGAATAGACAGTGATTCCCTTCACTAAAATATGGAATTCTGGAGAAGTAGATTTGGGGTTATGGAGGTTTAAGAGATCTTTTGGACATTTTGCATTTTCAGGGCTACATGATAGCATGGATATATATGGACTTGAAGGTCAGGAGAGTAATCTAGGCTGGAGACAAAGATTTGGGCTTCCTCAGCGTATAGCTGGTAATTAAAACCGTAGTCTAGAAGGAATTACTAAATAAGTAGCATAAATAACACTTGCTGTTCATAACAATAGTTTCAGTTATTAGGATAAAATTAAATTAGAATTAAAATACTACTGGAATACATTTTAGAAAAATTTTATCAGAATTAAAAAGAAAAAATTTTACCCTTAAGCAATTTAATTTCAGTTAATTAGAAAAAATTAGTTTACCTAAAAAAAAAATCTCATTTTATAATGGTGTGAGATAAATGAAGTAATACAATATTTCAGTTTCCTGCCTTCTACATAGTGGTTCCTGAATCCCTTCATTTAAAAAGTTTTTGTTTTTGTTTTCTGTGCTTTAGGTGAAAGTTTACAAGTCAAGTTAGTTTCTCATTCAAAAGTTTATACACATATTGTTTTGTGACATTGGTTGCAATCCTACAATGTGACAGCACTCTCCCCCTTTCCACCCCAGGTTCCCTGTGTCTATTTATCCAGTTTTCCTGTCCCTTCCAGTCTTCTCATCTTGCTTTTGGGAAGAGGAATTACTTATTTGGTCTCATATATTTGGTTGAACTAAGAAGCTAAAAAGCTTCTTGAATGCTTATGTGACCAGCATTATGCTTGGTAACGCAACATATTTTAATATTGCAAATAAGCCTTCATATTTTAATATTTAATACTGTATTAATTTAGTATCAACTTACTAATTAATTTATTAATATTTATTATCTACTATTTTACTACTTAATATTTTAATACCATGAGGAAGTCATGGGGGAAAATTCAGCACATATGGCAGGGAGTGTGCATGGTGGCTAGAAGCACAAGTTTTGGAGACAGAGTTCACATTTGGGTTCTACCACTAGCCAAGTGGAAAGTTGCTTAACCTCTCTAGGATTCACTTTTCTCCCTGTAAAATCAGGAGAGTAATTATACCTCTCTTGTAGGGTTGTTCTGTGGATAAAATTAACTGAGGGGTTTAGCACAGTTCCTGGTAAGTAATATGCATTATAGAAGCCCTGGTGGCCCAGTAGTTAAGCTCAGCTGCTAACAGAAAGATCAGCAATTCAAAATCACCAGCTGCTCCTTGGGAGAAAGATGTGGCAGTCTGCTTCTGTAAAGATTACAGCCTTGGAAACCCTATGGGGCAGTTCTACACTGTCCTATAGGGTCACTATGAGTTGGAATCAATTCAGCGGGCAACAGGGTTTTTTTTGTTTGTTTAATATGCATTAAATGAGTGCTACGCATGGCGTCGCTATGAATCTGAATTGACTGAATGGCAACTAACAACAACAACTCACTATTATTATTATTATTTTTGTTGTTTTTATTGTATTCTCCTGTAAAGTAAAAGATCATTTTGTCAAGTGAAGAATCGCTTAGGAAGCTGTTAAAATAAATTCTGGCAAGTTGATGGAACCTGAACTAGAATAATGACA